GTTCAACTCCATGCCAACATTCCAATGGGATACATAACCTCCAAGCTCGAAGAGCTCATAGAAGTAAGTGCTTTCGCCGTTGAAACCCTGGGCGGGGGCCAGAACATCTGAATCGTGGCAACTAAGCCACCGCCTCAGTTCGAATGTCCTGATCTGCACCCGGAATCTCTGTAGTAATGATCCCATTCCTTCCAGTTAGAGGCGAAGAACGACGCCGGGAAAAAGGTGATCGGTGAGCGATCACGAGAAATGCGAGCGATTGAAGTGCTTATTCTCAGTAAAACCAGAAACACCAAGCCAGAAACATTCGATCACATTGACTTGCTGTATAGTGAAGCACACGACCAGGTAGCTGTTTGTATAGCCCCATTGAAAGCACCATAACTGCTTGTTTCAGCTATTCGCAGCAATCGACGAGTTGAATACAGTACGCGAACGAACAAGTGAGATGCAGCTCACTCTCGCCTCTTTGTTCGACCTTGTCGCCCTTCTGATGCAACTCGGTGGATCAGAAATCGCCCTCAACGGCTGTTTTATCACTGATACTGAGCAGGTATGATATAGCGGTATCTTCGTCAGTACTTTTCTGAAAATCCACGGTTACAGACGCTCGAGGACCGCCTTGCATGGGCGTCAAATGTAGCCAATGATCCTTCTCGTGCCATTGCGGTTCTTTGCCAACACACTCAGAAGGAGCTTCCACAAATCAAAGAGGAATCCGATGAAGAAGCCGACGACTTTGACACATTTCATACGGGAGAAATAAAGCTTTAAGTGATTGCTTTCACTATTACTTCAATAATGTTACTACAAGAATGCAAAGAAATGGGCAAAAGTCTTAACCTCAGGTGGAACTCGAACCCCCAGCCCACCTTTCCGGGTAAAAGTTAGTGCATCCGCTTGATAAAGGGATATTTGTTCAGAAAAAGTGTCAGTTGGAAGACCCACGCCGTGGCGACGCACAGAAGCTAGCTAGCATTTACTAGTTAGTTGACTCGACATACTGTAGTGCTTCCGCGACAACTCAACTAAATAGGTCCTAGTGCGAATTCCAAGCGAGCGACGTCACTTGTCAGGCCGACTGTGGGTTGTTAATTACAGCGAAAAAAGCGACGTAGACAGTCAAGTGCGCGGCATTTCCTTCGGGACCTAAATGACTCAAATGGCAGTACTGTAGTGTCAAGTTAACAAGCTAAGAAATACTCTGCTAGTTTCTGCATGTCAAAGAAGGAACTAACGACTAACACTACTGCAACGCCGTCTTCACCGTGTCGCGCTCCCACTCAATTTTGCTTAATTCCAAGCCACTGAACTGAATAGCTGTAATCGAAAACAGTGAAAATGTCTTGCAATTAGGGTCAGAAAACTTCAGAATTCTTGAAGAAGAGCTGCAACGCGTCGTGGTTTCAGTGGTTTATTTTTTTTTGTGTAGATCACAATCTTTGACCTAACATATCGAGAAACTTCTAAAACGACCAACGAAAACAATAATTTGTACATCGAAAGACAGTTCCGCTTGTTGGGCAGCCAGACGTACTCTCAAAGTTGTTCATTCTACCTGTGAAGACCTGTAAGTTCCTGTAACTAAAATGGTTCACTTATATTGTTTCTTAGCTTCACAGGGGTTTACAGGTCTGATCAAAGCGAAAACTGGTAATTGATATGAACCAGCAGCGCAATATGCCCCTCCCACCTGCTAGCAGAAATGCTTGGACAAGCGCGTGCTTAGATATCCCCACAAAAGTGAGAGTTGTGAAGTTGCAATGTAGGTAGCTACCACTCTCCATAGCAGGGTTTTATCTTTTCCACAGCGCAACGCTAAGGGACCATGGAAATAAGACCTAGGCCGACTTTTCATGAATTCAGAAGTGATGCAGCTGAAATTCTTCGGTGCTTAGAGTTGGGAGTGGCATGCGGGGTGCATCTGTGTTCATACTTCACTGTGAGGGCCCAGCTTTGCAGAGCAGACCGACTTCTACTACTCCAAAAACTTCTGTTGTGCACTGTATAAACGAAAAATCAACAAAAACAATAAAATCTCAACCAGTCACATCATGCCAAATCAAAATCGTCACGAGCATTATTGTAGTCCAAAACATGTTGCTTGATTTTGCTGGCATTAGTCCAAGTGATTGCATCTTCCTGATTTCGAGTTACCATAAAAGCTGGATCGGTAACCAATTTGGGACCAATGCGTACATGACCCTGTTCCACCTGAAATTATCTGTAATCACAGACATCAAAAAAATGGCAGTCGATAGAACAAAAAGAAGCGGATCTATGCCACACTGCAAAATAAAGCCGAGAACATCTCAAAAGCTAATAAAATAACATCATTCTGCCCGTCACAAACCAATGAAAATAGCACAAATTCTGTATACGTAGGACATGGCGCAGTCCGGCTTGGGTGGGTGGAGAGGGCATGTTGCACTCCCAAGGCGTCGAGCCATCAAGTGAAGACCCGTGAAATGTTGTGAAGCCACGATATGATACCAGCCAAAGTTTGTAGAGAGCACTAGTCAGCTCGTGTGAAAAACACCTGTCAGCTCTTGTAAAACAATGAAGACATTGATGGGATGTAACGAAAATGCAAAATGCCATCCTTTTTCTTCATCCTCCTTCACCCTCACCCCCCCCCCCTCCTGGCCGAACTTCGATACCTCCCTTATGAAACGTTTGTTAGAACCAAACTCACAAAATCGCTGGCACCACGAATACTGTCCACCATTCCTATTTTTTTCATCACCACGGGCAAACGACGCCTGGCAAAACAAGCAGCAGATACCTTAAAAAAAGCCAAAAAGTTTTCTCGAGAAGTAACCTCACATTTCAAAAACAAGAAAAAGTTCAAAACTATTAAACCAATCGAACTCCTCCAAGAGGGCATGTCCTGTAGTGGGGATTTCTTTTTGCAAAATGCGACCCACTCGCCTCCCGACTTCCTCTTCAACGACTCCACTCCCACTTGAAGTGACCCCGGGGAGCGGCAGGGAGAAGAGGGATGACGTCACAAAACAGCTACCAAGTTAAACTACTGGAAACAGTTGTATAGGTGTGAAACGAGAAAAAGTGCAAAAAGTCAACAACCGGGAAAATTCCCTCGCGCACGAAAAAAAATTATTGAGGAGATTTACGACCCTCCCTCGGAGCGTCACGCAAAATCGATTCCCGTCCCTCCAGCAGCAAACACAACCACCCGTTGGGGTATTCTCCAGAGTAGGATGTGCTCTGTTTTCCAGTACCTATGGCAAGAAAAAAAATTCAGCAAAAATACAATTCTAACCAACCCACTGAGAGATGAGCTCTTTTCACGCAGTTGGCGAATAGAAGAAAATTCTGGTTCTCCTCAGAAACAATAAGTACTCTTCTAACTTCGTGTTACACTTTAGTGAAGTCTTGTCGTGGGCACTTTTTTCTTGACGACTACTATGAATCAGTACAAAGGGAGTTTTGAAGGCAGTTGGCACGATGATTTGGTGCTCGGCCTAAAATGCTAGTAGGGCGCTATATAGTGGGGAAATGGCGAAAGAACGGAGTGAAACGGTCAAAATCCTGCGAAGAAAGAGCCTCCGTTCTCAATGTGTTAGAAATCAATTTTGGACGAGTTTCCTGTAGGCATCTTGCCAATAACCGCTACCGAAGGTACGGCTGCATATTTGTACCCATATATGCATTCAGATCACGTCCGCTTCATACTAATCCCTTCGCCTCATAACTTGCTTAGCAAATGAATCGATTAGAGCGCCAGGAACGGTCGCCTATTTGTGGGCGAGCGGGCGTGGCGGGCGTTCGGGTCGTAATGTTGTGACTTGATAGGCCTTTACAAGGGCACCCCCCTCCCTTGGAAAAGGCATTATGCAGCGCCTGCTCAGGGTCGCGGAATTCCGTCCTGCCAGGCGTATTAATCCTACTCGTCTTGGGGATTTATCGTGCTAACTGCCTTTAAGGCGACAAGACCAAACTAACCGACTCCTATGACTGACTACGGCGCTTGTTGGGTAGCGAACGCCACAATCGTGTCAGGCAGTGAATGTGAACACATGAAAGTTCTTACTTTGCCCAGTCGTTCTGCCGTATCTGCGGTGGGAATCACACCAGCAGCATACAACTTGCTTAGCATTTCACGAATGCAGCGAACACGAAATGGTTCATTTGGTGGAAGCTCTTTCAGCTTTTCTGCTATAGAACGCACCTATAACAAGAAAATTTACGAATTTTACGAAAAATGGACCTCACTCTAGAATTCGACAGAATGTATACCTCCGCAGCCAGCTTATTGTATAACGAGTAATGTTCCCTTTTTGTGATGTGATACCTGTAATGTAAGTGTAAGCGGTAAGTACAACTTTCAGTATTCGAACATATGTGAAGTACAACAAAATTCCCCTTGAAATCTTGCACTACATATTTATTTAACAAATTAAAAGAAAAAAGGAAAAAGACCGGCAGGACCCTGGCGATTGTTTGGACGTACTTACAATTAGAGTGAGGCTTCTATCGATGAGGACCCCTGCATCGATTCTATCCACCTAGCTGTGTAGCATATCAAGAAATTTGTAAATCACGTGGCATTGGACATATGGAATCATGGGAAATGGCCAAAGCACTTCCTTTCCACTCTACAGATAATATTCGCCGAGCCTTGTGTCAAAAGGACAAAGAATGTTTTCGCAATCGATCAATTCCCATGTACAATGCGACAGACGCGTTCTACTTTCATTGAGAATTGTAGGGGCATATTGAATATGACATGAACTGTTCATTGACGTGAGGTCAATGCTTTACTTTTTCAGTCAATACTGGAACCAATTTGGTTTCCCCAAGGGGCAGACTTCTTTGTTGGCCTGGGTGCGAGCGAGCCGATACGGGATTTGCTCCCTGGATCGCGATACGTGCATGTTTCCTAGCACAGACTGTTGGACATAAAATTCCGGGTTAGTTAGGCTCATATTTGCTCAGAAAAGTGAATGATCGTTTC